TTAATGACCTTTTGCTTTCTGCCTGTATGGTATTCGTGATGTCATGCCATACCCCTCTGGTCTTCAGTGTCTAATGCATTCATTAGACCAGTGTCTGGTCGTTAGTGTCTAATGCATCAAATCTGTTCTTGAGATGGTGTCTAAATTCAGGTGGGATAAAGCTTTTGGCCCTCATAAATTTGTTTTACTTTTCTTCAGCTTCAGTCTGAACTTGCATATGAACAACTGATGTTCTGTTCTAGGCTGTTCCTAGACTTGATTTGGCTGATGACTTTGAGCTTTTCCACCATCTCTACCCACAGATGTAGTCAATTTGATTCCTATATATTACATCCAGTGAGATTCATAAGTATGGTTACCTTTTATGTTGTTTGAAAATGGAATTTGCGATCAATACGTCGTTGGGCTTGTGAAACTCTATCAAACAATCTCCGGCATCCTTTCTGTCACCAATGACATATTTTCCAACTGCTTTGTGATAATAAGGGTTTTGTGCCCACTTGACTAAGCCAGGATTCCCAATGGTTTGGCAGTTGAGATGTACATGTTCACATGGTGAAATCTAATAGGGGCATAGTTAACTGTATGATGATTGGCCATGGGCAAGCCAATCAATTGAAAGGATATTTGGATATTTCCTTGGGAGTGTGACCTGATCCCAATATAATGGACACACAAGAAAAGCTTGCTCTCTTTTCAGCTGGGGATCTGGGACTCTACAATTGTGAACCATTTCCTTAATATAAAGGTCTCTCTCTATATATATATGTTTCACTGGTTTTGTTTCTCTAGAAGACCTAAGATATCCTTCTTCCTTGTTTCCAACCTTCCCATTCTTATCCCCAGTAATTGTCAATGCATCTTGATTGCGTATTTGAGCAAAGTCAGAGTGAGGAAGTTGATAGAATTCTTCAATTTCATCACCACTGGCTTTTGTGATGGGTGTGTACATTTGAATAATTGTGGTATTGAATGATCTTCCTTGTAAGTGTATGAATATTATCCTATCACAGACAGCATTATACTTTTAAGATCTTGAAGTGTTCTTTTTGATGATGAATGCAACACCATTTTCTTCAATTTTTCTCAACATGGTAAACCATATGGCTGTTGGATTAAAATGGCCAATACCAGTCCATTTTAGCTTACCAGTGCCTAGGATATCGATCTTTGTGTGTTCCATTTCATTTGACGATTTACAATTTTCCTAGCTTCATACTTTGTACATTCCATGTTCTGATTATTAGTGGATGTTTACAGCTGTTTCTTCTAATTTTGAATTTTGCCCATCAGTAGTAAATGAAGGTCCTGAAAGCTTTGCTGGATTCATTATGGTCACCTGGACTTTGAGGAGATAGTTCTTCCCATCATGTTTTGAGGGGCTCATCTTCGGGCACTATATCTGACAATGGTCCACTGCTATTCATACAGTTTTCGGTGACTAACCATTGAGAAGTGATCCATCTCTCTTTCTTGCTACTCTCAGTCTGGAGCGCCACTGAAACCTGTCCACCGTTGAGTGACATTGCTGTTTGTTAAAATACCAGTGGCATAGCTCCCAGCAACACAGTAACATGCAAACCACCACAGTACAACAAACTGGGACTAGTTTTGATCCATAAAAATTACAAACTTGGAACCCCTATAGGGCAGTTCTATCAATGCATAATCCTAATATGAAAGTCATGTTCAGTGTTTGTGTGGACATGTTTTCATTTCTCTTTGGTATCTACCTAGAAACAGAATTGCTGGCTGATTTTTAAAAAGACACATAAAAATATTTTTCACATGAAATAAACCCTGGCTCCTTGTATTCTTTAAACATACTTGGTTATATTCTCGGTAAAGGTGTACACAGTCTAGGTACATTGATCAATTCCTACACGCTGTTCAATGACATTGGTTACATTCTTCACAGTGTGTATATTTTCATTTGTTACCATTCTGATTGCTCTATTTCCATTCATCTAGTTTCCCTGCCCCCTTACAATCCTTTATTTTTTTTTTTTAAAGTAATTGCTGACAGTTATATTTCATATCAGTGGTTTTTTTTTTTTTTTTCCTTAAAGGAGCACAGTACTAATGACTGACGTTAGTTTTTTGAGCCAATTTGTTATTTAGTTACAAGCTGACCTCAGGGATTCCTTTTTGTTCAAGATTTTTAAGGTATCGCAGATCAAGAGTTTCAGGGAGTCCTCCAGTTTTATTAGTCCAGTGGTCCATTTTTGTTTTTCCTCTGTAAAAATTTGAGGTTCTGTTCCACGTTTTGTCCCCCTCAATTAAGGTCTGTCTATTGTGATCCAGATCAGAGTGGTCAACAGTGATAGCTGGACACCATCTAGTTTGTCTGCTTTTAGGTCAGATGAAGCCATGGTTTTGTCAACTATTTCTTTCTTCTGTAAGTCTTAGTGTGCCTGGCTTTTTGTATTGTAAAAAATTATTTTTAATTCAAAGACAGGGAAATTCCCCCTCTTTGGTGTACAGCTCTATGAATTTGAATTCTGAGAAATGCAATCTTGCAATCCACCCACAACAATCAAGCTACCGATTGATACCAAGTCTGTCTCCTTAGAATTCTCCTGGGACTGCTCCTCCTTCAATCCTGGCAAGGTGGAGTTGTCCTCCAACCCTAGTGCTTCACCTTTGCAGACCCGACACCCGCCATTTAAAAATCTTTAACAAGGGATTTCCATTGTTTGAAAGTATTATCTGTGGGTCTCTTGCAGGTGACGCCTGTCTGTCTAATGCTGGGCTCTAAATTTTAGACCAGTGTTCTGGGAACCTCGGTTCAGAAAGACAAGATTTAATTCACTTCTCCTTTCTCCTTCTCTTGACGCAGCTGAAGCCTCAGTGCAACTTTTGCTTCCTTTCCTGCAGCCTTCAATGCAGACCCACCCTTTGCCAACAGAATCAATTCCAACTCATAGTAACCCCATAAAACAAAGCTGCCCTGTAGGGGTTCTGACCTAGAGCAGCTGGTGGTGGGCTCAGTCACTGATTAAATAGCAGACACAAACCTCCATTTCACTAAAGGTTTTCAGCAGACTTTGACCCCTCACTCCTCCACACACAGAAAAGATGGGATCTAGGTTCTCTGTGGAAATAAAGGTGTCGTATTGGACATTTTAAGGAGCTCTGATAGTGTAGTGGTTACGAATCGGGCTGCAAACCGCAAGTTCAGCAGTTCGAAACTACCAGCTGTTCCATGGGAGAAAGATGAGGCTTTCTGCTCCCGTAAAGATTTACAGCCTCGGAAACCTGTACAGGGTCACTATGTGTTGGAACCGACTCCACGGCTCATAACAAACAACATTGGACATTTTTCCTCAGGGTTGGAGTAGCATTTGCCTTTGATGAATGATATCAGATGCTTCTTGGGGGAGGTGCAAAGGGAAAAAGGAATGAATGTGGGTGGTTGTTGAGGGTTCTTGGGAAAGAGGATGTAGACTGGGGTACTTTGGGGAGGGGACAATTTGAAGCACTCTGGGTTTAAAGCGACGGGGTGAGTTTTGCTGGCGTGTAGAGGTTTTTGCGGGTGATAAGGAAGTCCGTCAGGAAGAGACACGGGGTGGGGAGGGCAGGAATGGGCACTCCCTTGAAAAATGTGACTTTCAGCACATTGTGCCTTCTCAGCCTGGGTGGCCTGTTTTGTGAAATGGGTTCACCAGCTCCCTCTCCCTGGGTTATGGTGAGAATGACAACAGGATCAGAGAGTGTCAGACCCAGGGCAGTGCCAGATTCCAAGGCCTAGCAGCACAGATGGGGAGGTCAGGTGATGGGCAAACCCAGGCAGGCTCTAAGTTTTAGGATGCAAACACTATCTTGAGAGGGTCTCTCTGGAGTGCAAGGATGACCCCACCTACTCTTCTGCCTAAAATCTTTCACTGCAGTCAGTACTGTACCGGACATGGACTTGACCAAGCCTGTGGTCAGGTTCAATCCTCTCCATGGCGAGTCTGGGCATTCCATGGGATGAACATTGACTGAAATGGGAAGAAGGAGGCTGTTCACCGCGGAACAGTATGTGAACCAGCTTCTCACTTTGGTTGAAAACAGAATTCACATGTGGTGGGTACGCCAGGGCTGGAGGGGGGACACAGCGTGTCAGGAGACTGTTTCCTAGTTTTTCACACTGGCCACTGACTACTCATGCATGCAATGAAAGGGTTATTAAAACAAAGATTTTCAAGGACCGTCCACTGTACCGTGAGTGAAGTCCATGCTCCCTTCTGACCTGTCTCTCCTTTCTCTCCTTCATTTGCTCTGCTGCTTGCCCCTGGACCTTTGCACTTGCGGTTTCCTCTTCCTTTGAACCCTCTAGCAGTCATGTGTGTGGGAGGGACCTACGCACCTGTTTCCTGTGTGTCTCATAGCATTTTATGCCCAGAGATGCACTAGTGGGCACACACAGGTTTCATCAAAATCACAGAAATCCACTGTCAGCAAATCCTGTCGTTAAGTGCTGTCGAGTCAGTTCCAACTCACAGTGACCCTGTATAGGGTTTCTGAGCGCCTGGTGGGTTTGAACCACTGACCTTATGGCTAGCAGTCCTGTGCTTATCCTATAGCACCACACCAGGACTCCAATGCCTAGCAACCTTACATAGTAATAAGACTGTGAATGTTGATGGAAGCAGGCAGCCCTCCCTTTCTCCCACTGAGTGGCTGGTAGGTTTGACCCACCGACCTTGTGGTTAGCAGCCGCATTCTTAGCCCATTACTTGAGTGAACAGACAGGAAGGGAGGGAATGTCTGTTTATGAGATTACAGCGGCCCCCACGCAACTGTGATTGGGACCTTGGCTCTAGCCTCTCCCTTCATCAATTATATTCAGATGCATTTATGTTGGATTCAGGTTTTTGCTTTTCACGTGAGAACACATTCGTTGTTTGTGCCTAGTCTTTGGAATGAGAAATTCCACCTTGCATAGCCGGGACACTCGGCTGGCACCCCAGTGGAGTCCCACACACCCGCAACCAAAGAAGGAGCCACTCTTGAGCCGAATCCAAGCGCCTTTACTCTAAAGCTCTCCCTGTGGCCCACGCTTCAGGCTTGCATCACCGGCCGTGACTTCTCAGCCTGCAGTTTCACTCCGGAGCCCGCGAAGCCAGTGCCGCCCTGTGGAGGCGAGAAGGCGGTGAAGAGGCTCCGGGATACAAGCAGTGTAAGGGCAGGGTCCGGGAAGAATGTATCAGGGAAGGATGGGAGCAGGGGTGGGGGGGTCACATGCAGAAGGAATAGTCAAGGCTTCAGGGAGAAGGAGGAGGGGTAGGGTCCGGGAAAGGGCTGTTGTGTTGTTAAGTGCCATGGAGTCCCTTCCGACCCATAGCAATCCTATATAGGGTTTCTGAGGAGCAGCTGAGCTTGAACAGCCAACCTTGCAGTTCAAATGGCTTTTCAGTCTAGCACATTAACCCACAAAGCCACAGAGGTTGTATTCGGGAAGAAAGGCATGGTCTGGGAAGGGGGCAAGGCAGGAGGCTGGGTCTGGGCAGGGGAAGGGGAAGGACGTGGATGGACCCCACACTCCCCAAAAAGGAAGGGGCGGTAGGGTGGGGCACAGGGGAAGGCTGTGTGTGTATGTGTCTTGAGGGGAGTTGCTGCTCACCCTCTGCAACACGATGATGTCTCGGTCCGTGAGCTTCTCCCCGTTCACTGGGTCCACCATGTCCTTCCGAATCAGCTTCTCCACACACTCGAGAGTGACCACGGCCCCACTGGGGTGCAGGGGTACAAGGTAAGGCTGAAGGTGAGAGGCCAGACCGGACTGCCAGCCCAGCCCAGTGCAGGGTGTCCCTGTTATCCTCCCTGAGGACTCACGAGGGCCGCAGTACGGCGCAGGGTGTGGCGTTGCTCAGGCTGTCTCGGGTCACAGCGCACACGTAGCGCTCGCTGCGAGTGATGAGCCCCACGCGGTCCACCGAGCCATCAAGCAGTGTAAAGCGCACCGGCGTCAGGTCGGACATACGTAGAGGCTTCCCCGACATGGGGCAGGTCACTGTGCGGGACTGCAGGTGTTAGACAGGGTCAGTGCAAAGCAGAGGCCACAGGAGGGGGCCTTGGGACTTCACTTCAGCCACCCTCCCCTGCAAGGTGGGGGCGGGGTGCTGGGGGACTCACAGGCTTCTCCAACTTGGTGGCCTTGGCCTCAGGTGTCAGCGACGGGATCCAGAAGCTAGGCAGTGCCTTGTCCTTGTCCTTACTTGGGAGGCCTGCACTGGGTCCAGGCTGGGCTTCATCTAGGCCCTTCCCGGAGGCAGCCTTGGCGGTGAAGGGATTGAGGGGCCGGGTCACAATGGCCACCTCTTTCTCCAGGAAGCCTCGCACCTGGTCCTGCGCTGCTGCCCGTTGCAGCTCTTTCTGCTCCTCTCGCCGGGCACCTCGTTGCTTCTCATAGGCCTGCCGGGCAGGGTGGGAGGAGTGGCCCAAAGGTCATCCTGCAGGTTGTGAACTTGGGCCACTCTGGGGTGGTAAACTGAGGCATACACAGGGAATGCCCCTGACAAGAGCCCTGCTTGGTAAAGCTTGGTGGCTGCCTCATTTTAAACATGGTCCACTGCAAACTGAAAGGTTAGTGGTTCAAAATCACCCAATGGGCCCCTGGGAGAAACAGCTTGGTGAGCCGCTCACATGCAGATGGCAGGCTAGAAAATCCTGTGGGGCAGTTCTACGGGATGACGTGAATGGAGGCAAAAATCAACTTGACGGCCACTTTTTACAGATGAGGAAACTGAGGTGCCGAGTCTATTTAACAAGCATTTACTGAGGACTGAGGGCATAGGACGAGGCAGGGTGGGAGAGAGACTCGCCCCCTGCCTTTGGGGCCTACAGTCTAGTGGGGGGATGTAGTCATGTGTCACATGTACAGTCACAGCTGTGACACATTCTGACAGAAATAGTATTGGACGATGAGGAACCTGGACTGGCAGGTGGCCAGAGGAGGCTGTGCCTGGGCAGAATTCTGGAGAGTGTGAAGGATTTACCCCAGAAGTGGGAGGAACAGTGTTTCAGGCAAAGGGAACAGCAAAGGCAATGGTCCAGACAGGAAAAAAAAGGGTGGACTGGAGGGCCCAGAGTTGCTAGCCTCAAAATCGCCTGCCCACACCTCTTCCCCCTCCTTCTCCTGCCATCACCTTCATCTGTCGAGCGATCTCCTTCTTCTGATGCAGGATGTACTCCAGAATGGCCTCACGCTCATACAGGAAGCCGTCGGGGCTGCAGACAGCGGGGGAGGGTAAGGAAACCCAGGTCTAGCCCAGGCCACGCAGCAGAGATTAATAGTCACAGCCTAGTCATCAGCTCTCTGCGTTGTGCACCTACTACACTTCTTACAGGGAGCATCTCACTGAATGCTCAGCTTGGATCTCAGAGATGAATTCTTGTGCTGAGGACATACCTTTTTAACAATCATAGCTTTGTAGTATCATCTGGTGTTTTGTAGGGAAAGTCAGTAAAAGGTTAACTCAGCAGACTTGGGTTGTCCAAAGCCTGCACGTTCCAAAGAAAATTTGGCCTGTGCTTTGCCCCTGGGAGGTAACCTCTAGACTCTACTTGGGGTTTTGGGCCATGTCAGTGGTTTATGGTGGGAGGCCTTGGTCACAGGGTATTAGCATGACCTCACAGGGTATTAGCATGACCTCACAGGGTCTTAGCATGACCTCAAAGGGGCTAAAGACTAAGCAGCCAAATGGGCAGTCAGCCACGTTGTGGGACTGACCTCTAATAAAAACCCTGGCTACCAGGCTCCGGTGAGTTTCCTTCATTGGCAATACTCCACACACACTGTCATGTAGTGTTCCTGGAGGAAACAAGTTCTGACCGCGGGGAGAACTTGGGCCTGCTCTCTCCTGGAGTGTACCCTACATGCCTTTCACTTTTGCTGATACTTACTTGTATACTTCATGGTAATAAGAAGGACAGTGCATTAGGCATTGGGCTGCTAATCCAAAGGTTGATGGTTTAAACTTACCAGCTGCTGCATGGGAGAAAGAGCAGGCAGCCTGCTCCTGTAAAAATCTACCACCTCAGAAACACTGCAGGGGCAGTTCCACACTGTCCTACAGAGAAGCTATGAGCCGCAGGCAACTCAACAGCAACAAATCTGGTTTGCTTGGTTTTTGGGGTAATAAACCGTCAGCCTGAGTATAACAGTTTCACTGAGTTCTCAGTTGTTCTGGAACCTGAGGATGGCTGTAAGGACCCCGGGTGGTACTCTACTCTCACGGTTATTTCCATATTTCTGTTAAGTGCCATCAAGTCGGTTCCGACCCATAGGGACCCTGTACAGGGTTTCAGAGGCTGTAAATCTTTACGGGAGCAGAAAACCTCATCTTTCTCCTGCAGAGTGGCTGGTAGTTTCGAACTGCTGACCTTAAGGTTCGCAGCCCAATTCGTAACCACTACGCTGCCAGAGCTCCTTATAAAAGACCTTTAACTGAGCACATACTTAGTTGCTGCACTAAATGGAAGCCTTTTACCAACCAAAAATGTTCCAGTCTGTGTCCCAAGAGCCCCACCCCATAAAGACTGTATTCTCTTCCATACCCTCTGACATCTGCCCTCGGATTGCGCCCATATCTCAGATAGGAACACTAAGGCTCTGACAGGCCAAGTAGCTTGCCTAGGGGGTCAGTCCTCTGTGTAGTCCCCTCGTCCTCCCCAGTCACCCCCAGCTCACGTGACAACGGGATCATGGCAGGGCTGTAGTGAGAGGCAGCAGCAATCAAAGTCCTTCACAGCATCCCGGCTCAGTCGAATGTTCTGGGTCCCATAGCCTGAGGCCGCTGGGAACAGAGATGGGCAGTGGGATGAAGGGACAAGACAGAGAGAGGAGGTACAGAGAGAACTCAGGGTGGAAGGGAGGCTTGGGAAGAAACAGGCAGACCATAGTTTAGTCTGGGTATATGTGGCTCTGTGTGCACGTGTTGGGGGACAGGAGCCTACCAGGAAGGTGTGAATACTAAGAGGGCCAGTTTTTTTAACAGACAGACAGATTTTGTCACCAAGCCTCAGCTTAGGGGAAGGCTAACAGCCGACTCTGACTCAACACTTCTAGCTCTGTGTCCCTGTTTAAGACCCCACCAGACCTGTTTCCCCCTCTGTAACACTGCCATTGTGCTGGGGATACTGCCATCCTCAGGGTATTGTGAGGGTCAAATGAGTTCAAGCAGAGGACGCTCTGAACGGGTGAGCTGCTCCTCACGTGAGAACCGGGTGTCGTCAAAATCGGAGCAAGCAGACACAGAGCAAAACCGAAAGTGCTGAGAGCCATGGAGGTTTTGAGGTACATTCACCCCCTCCCTGTTCCCCAGGGGCTCCCTGGAGGCTCCCGCCTGGTACCTGTGTCCTTCTTCTTCTCGTGGTAGGTGTAGACGGCTCCCGCTGTGCAGTTCTTGCCGTGTCGCGTCATCTTAGGAAGAAGGGGACAGCCGTGAGGCTGGGGCAACAGATGGAGCAGGCACGGGCAGGAGCAGACTTTTGTGTTGTTGTTAAGTGCCGTCGAGTTGGTTCCGACTCATAGGACCCCGTATAGAGCAGCTGGTGGGTTTGAACCTCCGACCTTGTTGTTAGCAGACTAGTGATTATCCTACAGCACCACACTAGGATTCCTATTAAGGAACTTCAAAAAGTTTGCAGATGACTGAGATCTTAAGAGCTCATGAGTGGCCATCTAAGGTGTAACTAATTACTAGTCTCTCCCTGTCTGGATAAAGAAAAGCGATGGAAATTGAAGGTGCTTGTAATCAATGGGTCACGTGAAGTAACTGGTCACGTGACTATTAGTCTCCACGACGCTGAAAGCAGAACTAGATGGTGCCCGGCTACCACTACCAACGGCTCAGACAGAGATCACATTAGAAGGTCCTCGACTGAGTGGGAGAAAATGTGGAACAAAAGTCAAGATCACAACAAAGGCCAAGCTTACCTGTCAGAGAGAGACTGGAGTAACTATGACCCTTGGTCACCCTGCAGGTCTGGAACTGAACGCACCCTCGTGACTCAATTTCCAGCTAAGCAGTAGATAGGTATATGGGGCGGGGGGGGGAACAAGTACACTACCATGGAATGGACAGCCATTCAAGATCTAAGGACAAAGTTCAGAAAGGAGAGAGAACGGAAACAAGACTCACAGAGAGAAAATGGGATACATGATGTTACATGGAGGGGATTACAATCATTGAAATGAAACGAAGCATGTGATTTGTTGAATGTAAGACTGATGATCTGGTCTGTAAACCTTCACTCATTTTACAATCAAAAGTTAAAAAAAAAAAAAAAGTCTGTAGACGAATAGAATGAAAGGATAGTGGAATTTCCCAACAAACTTTTTGAAGCCCACTGGCTTCCTCAGAATGGGAGGTGGGCTGCGGAGAGGAAGACGGGGGTGTATGGTGGGAGGGACACCACTAAAGGCCACACATATGTCAAAAGTAACTTTATGGTTTTAAAAAAAAGCTCCCCTTTCAAGTATTCAATTGAAATACACAACTCTCTGAGAAACAGCTCTTTTTCTCCCCCTACTGGTGGCTTTTGCTCAAATGCCAATTTGTGGTTCTCGGGCATATTCCTGTATACTATATGCATAGGCTTTAAGGGTATCATCTGATGAGTTTTAACAGATGGACAAGAGGGCTTCAAAATGCTAGTGGAAAAATTCTAGTATCTTTTCATTCCCATTTTCCCACAAACTCTGAAGGCCTCTCAGATGTTGCTCTTAGATGCCATTGTATCGATTCTGACATTTATCCTCCCTGTAGGGTTTTCTAGACTGTGATCTTTATTGAAGTAGACCACCAGGCCTTTCTTCCGAGGAGACACTGGCTAGGTTTGAACCTCCAGCCTGACCATTAGCAGGTGCTTAACCCTTGCCCCACCAGGGCTCCTTTGTGTTCTTGAGTGGGCTCTAACCCATAGAGACCCCAGAGTAGAACTGCCACAGAGGGTTTTCTTGTTTGTCATCTTCACGGGAGAAGACCGCCAGGTCTCCTGGAACCAATGGGTAGCTTTCCAACCTCCAGCCTTTCCGTTGGCAGCCGAGTGCTTAACTGCTGCGCCATCAGAGCCCCTCCAACAAATATACCCACCCTTGTAACCACGACTCCAATCAAGACGTACAACCTTTTCATCATTACAGAAAGTTCCGTTGGACCCCTTCCCAATCAAGGTACCCCAGAAATAACCAACGAGGTGTTTGCAGAAGCACTCCTCTGTCTTCCCTTCACCATGAGGGTCTGCACCTGCTGATTCCACTCGCTCATCGCCCCCTGGTTCCTCTGCTCCCTCCCCCAGGGCTATCCATGAAGGTCACCTCCTTACCGCCAAATTCCCTGCTCTATTCTTAGTTGTCAACTGCCTTGACCCTTGGCGGTAGTTGGCGCTGGGAGCCCATTTTTTCCAGAGGTCGGTGTTTGTCTTGTGGCCAGACCTGAGGGCGTCTAGGCTCTTTGGTTTCATGGATGGATGGGGACAGCTTCCCCTCCCGGAGTGGGAGGAGCACCTATAACGGAGCATTTGTAACTGGGCAAGAGATGGCAATAGGAATAATGTCAAAAGAATTTGGTTAGCTCACAGTAACCAAAAGTAAGAAAATAATCGACATTAAGATCAATGGGTCGTGAAAACAGATAGCACTTGGCTGGAAATCAAAGGTTAGGGGTTTGAATCCACACAGTGGCATTGTGGAAAGACAGGCCTTCTAATGTGTGGTCCTGTAGCATACGTACTAGACTACAAGGTTGGTTTGAACCGCAAGGTTGGAGGTTCAAGCTCACCAGCCACTCCTCGGAAACTCTATACAGGGTTGCTATGAGTCAGAATCAACTCAACAGCACTTAACAACAATGTGCGTCTGTAAAGCGTCCAGCCAAGAAAACCCTATGGGAAGTCCTACTATCACCTGGTGTCTCACTATGGGACATAGGGGAGCCTTCATGGTCACAGCCCAACAACAAACCAAACCAAAGGATAAACAAAATGGGATACAGTGGTATCTCTCAGCCACCAAGAGGCACTGGATGCTACAATATGGATTCTTGTGGTTAAGTGCTGTCGAGTCAGTTCCAACTCATAGCAACCCTATATAGGGTTTCCGAGGAGCAGCTAGTGGGTTTGAACTGCCGACCTTGTGATTCACAGTCCAGTGGTTGTCCTGCAGCGCCACACCAGGACTTTGTGGTTGTTGTTAAATGCCTTTGAGTCAGTTCCAACTCATAGTGACCCTGTATAGGGTTTCCGAAGAGCAGCTGGTAAGCTTGAATCGCCGACTTTGCGGTCCCAACCACTGACCTTGCAGTCCAGCACATTAACCCAATAGCTCCATACCAGGATGGGCAATTTAAACATTGGTTATTTAAACGGGAGATGATAAAGGCATGAAGTGGCTAGCTTATACACTGTTGTAGGCGTGCAAGTCTCAAAATGAAGGGGACAAGGGAGGAACCTCATTGAATAATTTCCTCTTTTCATGATGGGTCTGGGGGAAAATACTGACAAGATTATATGATTCCATGGTCAGTGCTGACTGTTAACGGGTTAGCTATGGATGATGAAAGCTGTAATTGTAGAAACATTCATTGTAAAAGAGGGGGCTGGGGGGAAGCACTGCTGGACTGGGGTACAGTGGCTGAACCTAAAGTCCCTTAAAAATCTTGCTTTGCTGATTATCTCTTGAGGCTCAAAGCAAGGCAATGATCTCAGTAAAATTATATCAGAATTCAGAAAAGGTGAAGACAAGACAAGCTTTTGGAGGACATGTCCTGTTCAGATGAACACCTGACACAGACCTGAATGGCTGGTACCTGTGAAACCTACTAAAGGACGAATTATCAGTGACAGTTTTGCACAGGCAAAATGATTGGGATGGGGAAGTTAATCCTTCATGCATGAAAGGGCCAAAGGGTGGCCTGCAGAGCAGTGAATTACTTAATATGGCCCTTGGAGCTATAATCTTTGCAACTCCCATCCAGTGACTGGGTGGTGGTTGTTGTTAGGTGCCATCGAGTCGGTAGCGACTCACAGTGACCCTATGCACAACAGAACGAAACACTGCCTGATCCTGGGCCAACCTCACAACTGTTGCCATGCTTGAGCCCATTGATGCTGCCACTTTGCCAATCCATCTTGCTGGGGATCTTCCTCTGTTTCTCTGACCCTCCACCTTACCAAACATGATGTCCTGCTCCAGCAACTGGTCCCACCTGACAATATGTCCAAAGTATGAGAGACAAAGTTTGGCCATCTTGGCCTCCAAGGAGCACCCTGGCTGTACTTCTTCCAACACAGATCTGTTTGGTCTTTTGGCAGCCCATGGCACTTTCAATATTCTCCTCTAACACCATAACTCAAATGCTTTAATTGTTTTACAGTCTTCCTTATTCACTGTTCAGCTTTCACATGCATATGAGGTTACTGAAAATACCATGGCTTGGGTCAGGCGCACCTTAGTCCTCAAGATGACATCTTTGCCCTTCAACACTTTAAAAAGGTCTTGTGCAGCAGATTTGCCTAATGCAATATGTCATTTGACTTCTTGACTGCTGCTTCCATGAATGTTGATAGTTGATCCAAGAAGAATGAAGTCCTTGACAACTTTAATTTTTTCTCTGTTGATAAGAATGTTGTTTATTGGTCCAGTGGTGAGGATTTTTGTTTTCTTTACATTGAGATGCAATCCATACTGAAGGTTGTGTGGTCTCTGATCATCAGTAAGTATTTTAAGTGACTGGGTGGGACTATACAAATAAGGCACTTGTTGCCCACCAAGGGAATGGAATAGCTTACATGGCACTCTTGGGGGGGGGGGTTAACCATGTAAATAAGCTGTATGAAACCTTAATGAGGGGATTTGTCAGGTTTGCTATCCCACTAGCCCTAAGACGAGCCATCCCAGAGGTGCAAATGGGGACCTCACAACCACCAAGAAGACCACATCCTTTGAACCCAGGATTCAATCCTGTGCTAAGAACCTGCTAGACCCAGGCAACAGACAGAGATACAGACAGAGATACAGACAGAGCTGTTAACTAGTGAGACACAGCAAGAAGCACAGAAATGATGGCAGTAGAGCCAGGAGACTGGCAGGAGGGGGACAGGTAGGCCTTTCTCCTCTTGTACCTTGGAGTGGAATCAACTCCCAACCTGTCATTTAGTAGCCTAGCCCTTAACCATTTAAGAAAACCAACTTGTTTTTAACGCATACATCCCAAAGTTTTTTCCAGTAAAATGGCACAAAGACTGGATCTGATTTAATATACTGAAGTTTAAAAGGTGGACCCATCAAACATGGCAAAATCACAATACTTTGTAAATCAAGGGGGCAGGGAAGGAGCTCTGGTGGCACAAACAGTTGAGCACCCCATTGCTAATCGAAAGGTTGGTAATTTGAACCTACCAGCGGCTGGGGGAGAAAGACCCCCAAAACCAACCTGCTGCCAAACTGATTCCAATTTTCAATGACCCTGCTGAACAGAGCAGACCTATCCCATAGGGTTGCGGAATTTCTCCCATGGATAACCCTGATGGGTTCCAACCGCTGACCTATAGATTGGCAGGAGAGTGCTTTAATTAGTGTGCTCCTTCCCGTAAAGATGACAGCCTAGAACACACTAGGGAAGAGTTCTAGTGGCAGATGAGTTGTATGCCCATTTTTATGGTATACCGCATATACACCCACTGCCTTCAAGTTGATTCCACTCAGCGACTTCCGCAAAGAGGCTAGTGAGTTCGAATCGCTGACCTTTCGGTTAGCAGCCCAACTCTCAACACACTATGCTAGAAAACTTAAAAGGACACAGCACAGAACATCCCTTGAGACCTAAGTACACAACGAATCACAGAACGGTCAGGACTGCGGGACCCCAAAGCACCACAATGCAAAACATTAAGCTTTCCAGTAGCCACAAGCTAAAGAGAGACGAGATTGTAAATAAAGATGAAGAGGAAGTGGCGGACCACTAAACAATCCAGCCTTCCACCTGCCCGCTTTCCCCATCATAGTCTGGAAAGCTGAGACCGAGAAAGTAGTCCTTCCTCAACGCTCAATTCTTGGAACTCCCGGAATCCCTCTGCCCTCTTCTACCGGACACTCCCTGCCAAGCGTCATTTCTCGTGGGACTACAACTCCCATAAAACGTTGCGACTAAGACCTGCCGGGGGAGTTTGTCTACATCCAAGGAATGCTGGGAAGTGTAGTTCTGTTTCAAATTTGTGACGCATGGCAATCTCTATTAATGATCAGATTCGAGTATCCGAGATCTGTCCCTGTCTCCCTCAGGACCCTAGAATTCTAGCCGGGGGAAAAGGCTACCCAGCAACACTATCCTCTAAGCGTCAGGAACTCACCTCACATCGACTACTAGTTCCTTCGTCGTTTCTTCGACTGTCCGGACGCCGGAAGCGAGAGGTTATTTTCCCTCCGCTGCAGCGCCTACTTCCGTCCGGTGGAAGCTACCGGAAATGAAATAGCCCCTAGTTGCAAAGGTGCTTCGTCTGCCTCGGTAAATCCTCTGTTCTTTCCTTCCTCCCTCCGGAAACGTGAGTGCCAACCAAAGGTTCCGGTTCGGGAAACCCGCGTGTACGATGTTCTACTACGCATTTTGCTTGGCGGGAGATTTCCTGTTTGATTCCAAACCCGAATTTAAAGGATTATCGGTTTTCCCGGAGATTGGGAAATCCACTTTTCCAAGTATATCATCCATCGCCCCCTTTTTTTTGTTGTGTTGCATCTTAAGGGGTAATTGAGAAGGGAAGGCATCCCTGTTCCCATTTTATAGACAGAGCAATTGAGAAACGCAGAAATCAAAGATGTTCAAATCACACTCACAAAACAGGAATTTAGTACGTCACCTCCCAGCTATCCCAGGGGACCAAGACATTCAGTTCCCGCTAGTTTCTAGACATCTATAATAATAATAATAATAATAATAATAATGTTGTTGTTGTTGTTAAGTGCCGTCGAGCCGGTTCCGACCCATAGCGACCCTGTATAGGGTTTCCAAGGGTGTAAATCTTTACGGGAGTAGAAAGCATCTTTCTCCCGCGGAGTGGCTGGTAGTTCGAATAATAATAATAAAGGCCTGAATATTTATTTCCTTAGCCCGTCCTGGCTATTGGATAGTTGGAGAACTAGAGGGAGCGCGTATCCAATCACCTAGGGGCCCCAAGGTGTCAGGGACCCGCTCTTCCTTATGGGGCTCTGGACATTCGGGCTTTCACCCTAAGGTCCCTTTAAGTACTTTGTCCCTTACTTGAGTACCGCCCAGGACAGGTAATCACAAACCCCGCCCCTTGGTCAGAAGCCAGACCCAGTCTGGTTACTGGGAGCGGGGGGGTCGCCCTTCTTCCCTCTCCCCTTCCCTCTGCCTGGTCCCTCTTCACAACTGGCCTCAGCTGGCCGAGGAGGCCTCGATTAAAGACGAAGGGACAGTGCTCGCAGATCCAAACAGGTAAGTGAGTATACCTGTAGGCAGAGCCTGGCTTGGGGACCCTGGTGTCCTAACTTCCCATCACTCTCATTCCCAGAGGTTACAGCCTCCTGGCCTAGGTGCCCAACATACCTGTGCTCTTCATCTCCTCCCCCCCCCCCCCCACTACCCAAGAACATTCATATAAGTTCCTGTTTTTGTCTCTCCTGGAGTCTGACCTCTGTGGGTGGATGTGGCAGTGATCTCTGTCAGAGAAGGGCGGACCCATAAATGGAGATCGTCAGGCGGGAAGGGTTCCCATCACGTTTAAGTGCTAAACCCTTGCTGGGTGCTGGAGCCACGGTGGGGAAAAAAGACCAACTCTTTTTTTAGGCATATTGTCCTCACTCAAATCCTGACTTTTGTATTTGCAAACTGTGTGAACTTGGACAAGTTCTTTGCTTCCCAGGCCTCTGTTTTCTAGTCTATAAAATGGGCATAATAATAGGAGTCTTGTGCAAAGTAAAATGAGTTTATCTGGGTAAACTGCCTAGAATAGTGCCTAGCACAGAAAGTGGCTACAGAAGGATCTGCTATTGCTATGGTAATTCCTGAATCACAGATTCTGGTCCAGTTGTGGGGAAATTGCTTTAGTCCTAAAGGATTGAGGAACTTGTCAGTTGTATCACACCTCTTTCCAGGTGTCCACAAAATATGAGGGGCTACCCCTCTCTGCTGCTGTTATACCTGGGACTGACCACCTGTCTGGACACCTCTCCCAGTGGAGATCAAAACCAAGGTAAGTGTTTGGGGTAAGAGTTGGGTGTCCAGGCACTGACCACTGCCTCCTCCTGATCCAGGACCCCAGTCTGCTTCTGCTCTTTGCCATCCTGGCCCCCTTCTCCTTCACACCCTGGAGTCCAGGTCTCCCAGTCTCTCCCCCAGGATCCCATAATTTTCCATCCCCTTCTGGACAGATTCATCTGTGTCTCCAGACTTAAGGACCCTCCATCTCTCTGTTCCTTCTATCCTTTAGCTCCAGAAGTCTTCCTGGACTCCCCAAAGGCCCAGAACTTCCTGGGCAGCCGCCACCGGATTCCACGCGCCAACCACTGGGACCTGGAGTTGCTGACCCCCGGGAACCTGGAGCGGGAGTGCCAGGAGGAGCGGTGCTCCTGGGAGGAGGCGAGGGAGGTCTTTGAGGACAACACCCAGACGGTGGGTGAGGGCCTGGAGCCCCCTGAGACCTTGGGTCTGAGGCTGTGCATCCTCTCCAGAAGACATAGTCTCATCCCTCAACTCCCAGCTCCCTGGGGTCTTAGAAATTGGGCGCGGGTGCGCTGTGTGCATCTCCAGTTGACACGCTCTCTCCCCTTCCAGGAGCGCTTTTGGGAAACCTATATCTACAATGGCAAAGGAGGTGAGTGGAAGGTAAAGCTCCTAGTTCTGTTCAGGTAAAGCCACCCCTTCTGGACAACCCCACCCCAAGCGAAGTCTGAAAATCATCTGCACCCCCCAGTCCATGCTCCCTGAGTTCCCAAAGGTGGTTGGGAACTTCCTCCTGGAGAACCCATCACACCTTATTCGGAAGTGTCCCTGCAAGGGGGAAGTGTGGTCAAGTGAGGGAGGGTGACGGTCATAGGGCCCCTTCTGGTCCACTCTTTGGAGTCCAGAGGCCCAGCCCCTTAGGCAGCTTGGTTGCTAAGCAGGGCTGCTCCCTAGCAACAGGCTGGCCATCCTTACCTGACCTACCCCCCCCACTCTGAGTTCTGAGGCCCCATCATGGCTGCTGCTTTGTTGCTAAGGGGGGCTGCTACCTAGCAACAGGGGGTCTGGTCAGGCCAGTCTGGGGAAGTACCTGGCTGGCTTCCCCTCCCCCACAGCCCCATCCCAGCTTCAGCCTGGTTGCTAAGACGGTCTTCTCCCTAGCAACCATGCCTAGCCAGGCCCAAAGACCCAAAGCCTCCTGCCCACTAGAAGACTCCCCCTCTGGGCACCAGACGCCCCACCCCCTTGTGGCCTGGTTGCTAGGGGTGGATGCACCTTAGCAACAGGCCTAGTTCTGGGCTGCAGTCCTCCCATTGGTGCTTGGTTGCTAGGGGCGTTACTGCCTGGGCTACCAGCCTAGCGAGCTGAGTTGCTCCTTGATTCTACCTGATGCTTGTCAGAATTGAAAAGACTTGCTTTCTTGGGGGTAACTTTTACTAAAGGGGACTTAGCAAAGTCTGGGGTCTCCCGCTTGAGGAAAAAAAGAACTCCTACCTAGGGTAGTGTGGCGCTGTGGGCTAATGCGTCAGACTGCAAAGTCGTTTGAACTGCAAGGTCGGTGGTTCAAGCTCACCAGCTGCTCCTTGGAAACCCTATACAGCATCGCTCTGGGTCAGAATCGACTCGACGGCACTTCACAATAACAACAACACCTAGGATAAGGAAAGTCTCTCCAGCCCTAATAAGTCCTCCCAAAGCTCCAAGTCCCCTCGTTGCCCCTCTCTTCTTATAAATGAGGCTTTGGAAGGCTAAGGGTGTTACACCTCAGAAACAGGGTTTTGTGAGCTTTCTGTTCTTTTGGAAGACCTGGTATAGCGCTGTAGGATAAAGCACTGAACCGCAAGGTTGGTTGGAACCACCAGGCTGGCGGTTCAAGCTTACCAGCTGCTCTTTGGAAACCCTATACAGGGTCGCTATGAGTCAGAACCGACTCAATGGCACGTAACAACAACTTCCAAGGAGTCCTGGTATGGCGCTGTATGTTAAGCACTGGACCACAGGGTCCATTTGAACTGAAAGGTCAAACCCACCAGCCAATCCTTGAAAACCCTATACAAGGTTGGAGCTGACTCTGGCACACAACAACAAGTTCTTCCAAGGAGCCCTAGGAATATTCCAGTTAAGCACTCAGCTGCTAACCAAAGGTTGGCGGTTCAAGTCTACCCAGCTGATCTGTAGGAGCAAAGACCTGCTAAAGATGAAACCGAAAAAACCCAGGCCTATTCTGTCAAATCAAGTCAGACTCCTAGTGACCCTGTAGGACAGAACTACTACCATAAATGGCCCTGTTTACAGAAGCAGACTTCCATGGATTTCTTCTGTGGGGCCACTTTTGGGTTTGAAGCACCGACATTTTGGTGAGCAGCAGAGAGCTTAACCACTGTGCCACTAAAGCTCCTTATCCATAAAGATTCCAGCCGAGGAAACCCTATGGGGGAGTTTTCCTCTGTCACCCTGGGTCGCTATGAGTCAACTCCAGAAAACCTAGCACCAACCACCACTACTATTGAGCTTCTTCCTCCCGACTGAGAAATTCAGAAGCATGTCTCTATGTTCTACTCTGTTTCTTTTGTTGTTGAAACTTGTGGTTGCGAATTGAGCGAGGGTTTTCAGAGCAGACCATCAGTGTTACATCCAGCAAATCAATCACTTTGTTTCAGCTCACTGATTACAATGTAACAAGAGCTAGCCACTCCCTCAGGTGGTTTCTCTTTCCATTCCACCCTCCTTTCCCAACCCTTCTGAACTTTGGCCTTAGGTAAATGTTGTCCTTTTGATCTTGAATGATGACCATTCCATGGTGATCATGTCCTACTAGTGTTGTCCCCCCTGTATACCTATTGACCACTTGGTTGAAAATTGGACCATGAGGGGTGAGTTCCATTCCAGACCTGAAGTGTGATCTAGGGCCAGTATCTTGGTTTCCTCCAGTCTCTTTCTGACCAGTAACCCTGGTCTTCTCTTTAATTTTTGAGTTTTGTGTCATATTTTGTCACACTCTATTCAGAACAGTTGGTAGTAGTAACTGGACACTGTCTAGTTCTGGTCTCAAAATCGTGGAGACGGGTTTTCACATGTGCCATTGCACTAACTGATTCCAAGCATCTTCAATTCCATCTCTCTTCTCTCTTCTGCAAATGGAGAGACCAATTGTAGCTCTTATAAGTGGTCACTCATGAAAATTGAAGCCTTGTTCCTCAAATGCCTGTTTGGCAAAATGGGGGCTCCCTTCCAGCATGAGCAAGGTAGCCAGATATAAACAACAGCCAGTTCTTGGAGATATTATGGGTTCGATTCCAGACTACCACATTCAAGCAAATGTCGCCATCAAGTGAATCGAACGCATGTTTTACTTTCCAAGTCCACAGAGAAGTGATGTTGAAATGAGACTAGAGTCTATGAAGTATGCCATAGCAAGATGGGTACGTTTGAAATCTTGTGATGATGATCAAAATGGAACACAGAGACACAAAGTAAGCACAAGCAGTTGGAAAAATGGTAGCCACCGACTTGCTTGATGCAAGATTGCCACAAGTCTTCCATTGATTAAAAAAAAAAGTAAAAAAATCTCTGATAAGCACAATAAAGCAGAGCACAATAAAATGAGGCTATGCCTATATAGGACAACCCACTGAGTTTGAACTTTACATAAACAATAATTTTGCTTTAGTGTATAAGTATATCCCAAATCTTGCATGATATGTATTTACACTAAAAATTATTCTTTGTTTATCTGAGGTTCCCATCTAACGGAATCTGTCAAAATTCAACCTCCCCAAGTCTTCAGTGTAGAAACTTTCCTAGGTTGTGAGGCTGTAGTCTCTGATTTCTGCCCTGGGTCTCTGTTGTCTGGAGCTACACTTACTGTATTTTCTAGTGTCCCTCCCTGCACCCTGTGACGCTATCACAGCCCTTTTATGATTTGATATAATTGAATTCTCAAAATTGGCATGGCATTTTACAGCCATAGTTCCCATTTTACAGCATAGGAAGCTGAGGCTCAGAGGTGTTAATGGAATGAGTTGCCTGAGGTCTCATAGCCAGGAAGTGGCCCAAGCTCTCCCTGGCTTCAGACCCCATTCTGAGGACAAAGGGCAAGGATACTGGACTTTGGGGTGTGTGGGAACCCCTGAGGCAGTGTATCCCCATCCTTCCCCAGGTCGTGGACGAGTGGACATCGCAGGTCTGGCTGTGGGGCTGACGTCCGGCATACTGCTCATCGTACTAGCTGGTCTGGGAGCCTTTTGGTATCTGCACTACCGACGGGGTCGAGGCCAGCCAGCTAGTCCCCAAGAGTAAGAGGGCTTCGGGGAAGACAGGGTGGGAATGGAGTATGGGGCGAGCCTTGGAGGGAAGAATGAGCTAAGGGTTGGAGGATTTGGTGTGCACTGATGAAAGATCTGAGGGGACAAATGTATGGACTGTGAGTCTGTAAGCTTGCTTGTGTCCTTTGTGGGATCTGCAGACTGTCTTTTTGTCACTGAAGTTGTGTGAGTAGGCTGTTTATCTGCCCATATCTGTTTATCTGCCCATATCAGATATACAATGAATGCATTTGTTTTTTTGTGTAAGTATAGTCCAGATATTGCATGGGATATGTTGTATCATCAGTAAGGAGTTCTGGTGGTACAGTGAGTTAAACATTGGGCTACTTGCTAACCAAAAAGTTGGTGTTTTAAACCCATCAGCCACTTCTTGGAAGAAAGATATGGCAGTCTGCTTCCATAAAGATTTACAGCCTTGGAAACCCTATGGGGGACAGTTCTACTCTGTCCTACCGGGTCACTATGAGTCAGACAGAACCAACTCGACAGCAGTGGAGTGTATCCTCAGCCTCACATAAACAATTAAGAGCTTAAAAAGCATTTGCTACTGGCCTTTTTGGAGTCCTGGTGTGGCGCTGTGGGCTAATGCATCAGACTGTAAAGCCGTTTGAACTGCAAGGTTGGCAGTTCAAGTTGCTCCTCGGAAACCCTATACAGTGTCACTATGGGTCAGAGATGACTTGAGGACACTTTTTAGTACACATTCATGTGTAATTGTCTATCACAAGAATCCCTGATGACTTAATAGTTAAAGTGCCCTATTGTGCTATAGGGCAGTCCTACTCTGTCCTATTGAATCCCTTTAAGCTGTAATGAACTTCATGACACCTAGATTCCTAGGTGATGTGCAAATGTCCTGGTGTGGTGCTGTAGGATAACCACAAGGTTGATGGGATGGCACTTAACAACAACAAATGAGCCAGAACGCTTAACAATAATAACAGTAGCCAAAAGTTTGGCAGTTTGAACCCATTCAGCAGCACCGTGGAAGGACCTGGTAATGCCTTTTCATAAAGATCACAGTCAAGAAAACTCTATGAAGCAGTTCTAGTCTTAATACAGGGGAATGCCATGAGTTGGAATTGATTTGATGGCACAGGGGTTTTTTGGTTTTATTTGTATCTATGGCTCAGTAGTTAAGCACTTGCTGCTAACTAAAAGGTCAGTGGTTCGAGCTCACCATCTGCTCCGTAGGACAAGGCTGTGGCAGTGTGCTTCTGTAAAGATTTACAGCCTTGGAAACCCTGTGGAGTAGTTCTACTGTGTCCCAGAGGGTTGCTGTGAGTCGGAACCAACTTGACAGCAATGGGTCTGGTATGATCATTCTGTCATATGTGGGTGATTCTGTTACTGGGCAGTCTGGTGTGTATTTATGTGTGTCTGTGGCATGTAAGGAATTCTTGGGTGGTGCGAATGGTGAAAGACTCAATTACTCACTGAAAGCTTGGAGTCCTGGTGTGGCACTGCAGCATAATGTGCTGGACTGCAAGGTCGGTGGTTCAAACCCACCAGCTGCTCCTCAGAAACCCTATATAGTGTCGCTATGAGTTGGAAGTGACTCAAAGGCACTTAACAATGGAACAGTTGGTAGCTGGAACCCACCCAAAGGAAGAAAGGTCTGACGATCAGAGCTGTAAAAACCCTATGGAGCAGTTCTACTCTGCTCACATGGGAGGATCACAGGAGCTGGGGGTGACAAGATGGCAGATGTTTGGTTTTGCTGTTTTGTGATATGTAGTTTTATGTGGTGATAATGTGTGGTACTGGGGGGTTTGAGGAGGAGTAAGAGTAGAGATCTGGGAGATTCAGACGATTTCTGGTTGTGTTGGGGGTCTCTTTATGTCTGCTGATTTTTCCATCTGTTTCTGTGTCTGTCTGTCTGTGGTGTTTTTCTCCATTACTCCACTGGGACCTGGTGCATGTCTGTGTGTGAGAGCCTGCCTGTGATTTTGAGCAGCTGGGTTGAAGGTGACCCTCCTTTTCTCTGGTCTCTTCTGCCTCTGACCCCCTGTCACCTGCACAGCCTGTCTCTTACATCCTCTTATCCTCTTCCCCTCTCAAGTCTCCGCCCTGGGACTTTCCTAACAGCACATTTTCTCCTTCCCCAGGACTGACCTTATCAGTCCCCTGGACCCCCCGAGCTCTCTGGGCCCACCAACACCCTTGCCGCCACCCCCAGGCCTCCCAACCTATGAGCAGGCTCTGGAGGCCTCTGGGGTGCACGACGCACCTCCACCCCCTTACACCAGGTATTGGGCGGGGCTTCCGTCTGGGGGGCGGAGCGCAGAGGGGAGGACTGTGTGGGAGGTGGGGCGTGGGCCCGGGGACATGACTAGAAACCTTGGGTTTGTTGTCTGGGGCAGGGCTTGGAGCCCGGGGGCGGGGCCGATGCCACTGTGTAGGGGCGGGGCCCAGCGTCGTGGGTGTGGAGCATTATAGGAGGCTGGGACTTGTGCCCAGAGGGTCCCGGGATTGGTTGAGACGCCTAGGTCAGCGTGGTCTTGGGTGTGTGGTGGGGGCGAAAACAGCCAGGTCTTTGACTCTTCCTTGTTCCCCTCCCCTCGCAGCCTCAGGAGGCCCCCTCAGTGAAGAGCTATTTCAAAGCCTCGGGTACCCGAACTGCGCGATTCGCTCCGGAATCCGGAAGCCTCCGGGCCTCTTAGACTTCAGAGCTGCGATGGTGGGCGTGGGAGTAAGGGTCTTCCGGCCGAGGCCTACCCTGGCACACGAGTTTCCGCCACGACTGGACACACGGTTGGCTCGAGCCAACGGGTTCACGCATCCTGGCCCCTCGCGGGCCCCCACGATCTTCTGACCCAGAGTCCACACCAGCCCTGCCCATGGGGAAGGAACGCGTGCGTGGGAACTCGGACCCAGACGAACGGACCGGTTCTGCAGACGGTGTGTGTGTGCAGAAGTGACCCAGCTGTCGTCCTCCTGTGTCACGGACCACGCACATGTAGAGCCCCGAGTATGCACACGCGTGTCTTCGTGCGCTCCCCGCGCGCACACAAGGGCGCTTCGTAACCCAGGGAAAGAAATATGGAAGGGGGAATAACTTGCAAGCATGGTCGTTTGGGGCCGACTAGCATTGCATTTGGGGGGACAGATTTGAGCTGTTTCCATAAATAAAGACCCCCCCAAAAGCTGAAACAATGCAAAAAATAATAATAAAAAAATTGGAGAAACTGAATCGTGTTCCCGGGAGCGTCTGCGCGCGGCAGAGAAGGCTTTCTGCACAAACGCTGCGCCCTACACCCCCAGGCTCTCCTTGCGCGCTCTTCGCTCGCTCGCTCTCTTTTTTTTTTTTTGCATTTGCACGGGATTGTGGGAGGAAGCGGAGCGCAGCCAGACACCCCGCCGCCCGCCCCCCTTTCCCCTCCCCCCTCCCCCAGCCGCCTTGTGCAAAGATGGCTGCTCCGTGAGCGCAGAGGAGGAGGAGGCGGCGGCGGTGGCGGCGAGAGAGCGAGCACCCAGCACCCGCACCCACCCCGGGGCCGCCCGGGACGCCCCCTCCCGAGCGTGCGCCCCCCCTTCTCTCTTGCAAGCGCCCGGGCAAAGGCGGAGACAGCGGGGTCCCTCCTCCCCCCTTTCCCTCCTCCAGGGGGAACCCCCCTTCCCCCCTCCTTGGCTCGGCGGCTGCACCCCCTCCCTCGCCCGCCCCTCCGCCCCTGTCCCCTCCCTCCCCCGCCCGGGGCCTTCCCGGGCCTTCGGCGGCTGCAAAGAAAAAGAGAGAGAGAGAGAGAGAGAGAAGAAAAAAAAAAAAGCAGCGGAGGGAGCGGCGGCGGAGGAGAGCGCGCGCGCGCCCCCTCCCTCCCTCCCTCCCTCCCCCTCCCCCCAATTTCCACCGCGGCCAATTCATGGACAGGAACTACCCCAGCGCCGGCTTCGGGGACCCGCTCGGCGCCGGGGCGGGATGGAGTTACGAGAGGTCAGCGAAAGCTAGGTAAGGAGTCGGGTTGGCCTGGAGGAAGGGGCCAAGGGGTGGGGGCCCAGCCAGGCCGGACCCGGCCCGCCCGGCGACGCGTGCATCGCAAACTACCCTCCGGCTTGCATGGGAGCGGCCTTGGTTTGCAACAACGCCGGCCGCACCAGTTTGCAAATTGCAAACTCCGCAGCCGCCACCTCGGGCATGCAAAGGGCGCGGGGGGGGGGGGGGAGCTCAGGGGGGAAAAGGGGGTGCAAAACAATTTGGGTATGGGAAGGCCTTGGAAAGGTGGGAGGGACTGGCCACGCAAGGCCTGGACTTCCCCCCATCCTTGGATTCCGGACTTGCTTTCCCCTCCCCCTCTGCACCCCAGCCCCTGCTCTCTTGCAAAGGTGGGAAGGAAGAGAATTAGAACGCAGACCTGGGGGGCGCACGCCCCCTCCTGGGTCCTATTGTTCAGTGATTGCTCGAGGCCGCGCCACTCTCAGCCCACCCCCACCCCCAAGAAATTCCGCGCTCAGAGTGGGCACAGGGCCCCGCCCCCTTTCTAAACTGGGGTTCGGTGTGTGCCTAAGGGGGGAGTCTGGTATCCGGGACACGCCCCTTTTAGTTCCCCGACCCCCAAAGGCAGGGTGTGGAGTGTTCGACCTCCTGAGTCTGGTACACGGATTGGTCAAAGGATTGGGGAAGAGTCGGCTGTTTCCCTGGTGTGTGTGTTTGTGTGTACGTCTGAGCGTGGGTCCTGTGCGTGCGTGGCTGGTGGCCTGGTCACTTGTGAATCTACCCCTTTCCCGCTGTTTATTTGTATCGCCCTTACCCTTCCCTTGCCCCAGCCCACCCCCACACACATCCCGGAGCTTCCCAGCATGGTTGGGTATGACCCCACGTGTGTCAGTATTTTCCATGTGGGGCTCCTCGCTAGGTATTTTTCCTTCCTCACGGGTGGATTGGATGGATCCACTTTTGCACCATGCTTTGCTTTGCCTAGGTCCAAGCATTTGAACCTGAACCCCAGGGGGATGAAAGGTGTGCATGTTTGCTGCACATGTGTCTGCTATTTTCCCCTGCTGTCTTTTCTCTCCCTCCTTCCCACCCTGGTTTGGGGGACAGTCTCCTCCCACCTCCGACTCGGTTTGCCCTCAGGGCCTAAGTGTCCCCAAGTGTCTGCAAATGAGAGGGGCATTCATGTGCACCTCTGGGGCTGATCCCAGGGCCTAGGGGGCGGTGGGAGGCTGGAAGCATCAAGCCCACAGAGGTCCACGCCTTTCTTATTTAAACTCAAGGTACTTTCTCCGAATCTTATCTCCTGGTGTTTATTCCATCCCTGGGCATTCTGTGTTTGTAAACGTGAAACTGTGGCCTGGCTAGATCTACTGGGGCTCAGGAGTGGGGGCCATTTCTGTGGTTCTTTAGTTGGAGACCCAGTTCCCTTGTCCCTGCCCCTAAAAGGCCCAAGATTCCCTGGGATAACCCCCGTCAGCTGGAAGCTTCCTTCCCCAGCCCTTTGGGGATTTCCTGAGCGCACTTCTCAGCAGGGCTTGCGAGGACACCCTGACATCTCCCTTCTTCCCCTGCCCCAGCTTGGTCTATGGCAGCTCCAGGACCTCGCACCCCGAGACGGACATCTTACACCGCCAGGCCTACGCGGCCCCCCACCCACTGCAAAGCTATGCCACCAACCACCACCCCGCAGGTACGGCCCCTGGCCCGCCCCGCGTGGGCTGGCCCGCCCTCTGAGGCAACTGGTTGGATGCTTAAAGTTACACCCTTCCGGATTGGTTATGTCCTGTGTCTTCCCCCCGCCCCCTGCTGTCTCTCCTCTGATTGGCTGCCTCTGAAGCTGGTTAATTTCAGGTTGGATTTGTCCGCCCCTGTCTCTGACCCCGCCCCACCTGCTCCAATTGGTCCTGTCTCACCTCCCCCCCCATCCCACCTTCCCTTCCAAGTTCTTCTGACTCCTTTCAGCTCACCCCAATCCCTTCCCTCCCAGTTTCCCTGCCTCTTGGCTTCTTTGGTTCCCTGAATGCTGTCTTCCTGATTCCCTTTCTTCCTGGTAGGCTCCACTACCTGCCCCCTTTTTGGTAGATTTGCTCACTGTCTTTCTATTCTTTCGGTTGTACTCTTACTGTTTCTGTTACTCTTAACCTCTCCTTCCTCCGTGTACCAGCTGTGAGACCAGGTTGGCCAACTTGACCCTGATTTCCCTTTTTTTCCCCTCCATATTTTTCTCTTGCATTTTCACATCTTGACTCAACCTTTTACAAGTTCTTCTGAGTGCCTTTGCTTGCTTAAACATCCCAAACACTTTATCCTCTTTCCTGAGTTTGCTGATGACAATGTCTTTTTAATCCTCTCCCCTTTACGTCAGAATCTTCCTCTTCAGACTCCTCTTTCCTTTGCATTCCCTGCCCTTCTTTTCACCCTTTCTTTAACTCTCTCACCTTTCCCCATTTCACTTCCTGGCCCTGCCTACTTTCTGTTCTTTGACTATTTCCTCTTCTATTTCTCCTGGACCCTCCCCAACTTCCCACCTGACTGCCTGTCCCACTGTGTCCTTGGCCAGGCCTCTCTGGACTTTTCGACACTGGCCTTCACCACGCAGGCTCAGCTGGGCCCGACGCCTCCGTCATGAATCTCATCTCGGCCCTGGAGTCTCGGGGCCCCCAGCCTGGCCCCTCCGCCTCTTCTCTCCTTTCCCAGTTCCGCAGTCCATCCTGGCAAACAGGTAAGCCTTGTGCCGGCCAAGAAGGGCCAGGGTGGAATTGGCTTGTGGTCTACTCTGACCTACGGTTTCCTCCCCAGCCATGCACACGCCAGGCCCCACGGAGCTCTTCATCTCGGGCGCCCTGCCAGGTTCCAGCACCTTTCCATCCTCCTCTGCCCTGTCGGCCTACCAGCACCCAGCCTCTTTTGGCAGCCGTCCCTTCCCAGTGCCCTCGTCCCTTAGCCTCCAGGACCCCCCGTTCAGTCCCCCCGCAAATGGGCTTCTGTCTCCTCATGATGTGCTGCACCTGAAGTCCTCGCAGGCACCCACCGTGCCTTCCTCACTAGGCTTCGAGCGCTTGGCGGGGGGCAGCGTCTTGGGGCCTGCCGGTCTCGGCCCAGCCCAGACCCCCCCTTACCGTCCTGGCCCCCCAGACCCACCCCCACCTCCCCGTCACCTTCCAACTCAGTTCAACTTGCTGGCTTCTTCTTCTGCTGCCGCTGCCGCTGCTGAGCAATCCTCCCCACAACTCTACAACTTCTCGGGTGCTGCCCCAGGCCCGCCGCCCTCCGAGCGGGCCCTACCCCGACAGGACACCGTTATCAAGCACTACCAGCGGCCTGCCAGCGCCCAACCCCCACCGCCCCCACCACCAGCCCATGCCCTCCAGCATTACCTGAGCTGTGGAGGCAGCTACCCTTCCATGGGCCACCGGGCCAGTCTGGCCTGCAGCCCTCTAGGTGGTGGGGAGCCCTCCCCGGGGGCCGGGGAGCCCAGCAAAGCGGGGCCCAGCGGAGCCACTGCTGGGGCTTCGGGACGGGCCACTGGTCCTGAGGCAGCCGGGGGTGGTGGAGCAGGGGGTGGCAGTGGGGGTTACCGCCCCATCATCCAATCGCCAGGGTACAAGACAGGCAAAGGTGGTTATGGAGCAGCTGCGGGGGCCGGTACTAGACCTCCACCGCCCCGGTCAACTGCCACGCCCAAGTGTCAGAGTCTGGGGGGTCCAGCCGCCGCCTATGCCTCTGGGAAGGCCTCTGGGGCTGGTGGGGCAGGGGGCCAGGCCTACTCCCCTGGTCAACCACAAGGGCTTCTGGGACCACAGGCTTATGGTCAAGGGTTTGGAGGAGGGCAGGCACAGGACTTGAGCAAAGGCCCCAGCTACTCCGGGGGCCCCCCGCAACCCCCTGGAGGTCCCCCGCCACCTGGCCTGGCCACATGTCAGAGCTATTCTCCAGATCAGCTACAGGGGCAGCTCTATGGGGTGCAGGGTGAGCCATATCCAGGGCCAGCCGCCCACTCCCAAGGGCTTCCCACTGCCAGCCCCTCGCTGAGTTATAGCACGGGCCACTCACCAGCCCTCTCGGGCCACGGAGGTGGCTGGGGTCCCAGCTCCCTGGGTGGCGGTGGGGAGGCCAGCCCATCCCACATCATCCGCCCATTGCAGTCACCACCTGCCACTGGCCGCCCACCTGGCGTCGCATCTCCAGGGGCCCCCGGCAAGTACCTGAGCTCAGTTCTGGCCTCGGCCCCTTTCTTGGCGCCCCCTGGAGCTGGCAGTTACGCAGCTGGAGCCGGTGGCTACAAGGGCAAGGGTGATGGCTCAGAGCTGCTGGCGGGACCTGGTGGGCCGCCTGCTGAACGCACGGAAGATGAGGAGTTTCTCATCCAGCACCTCCTACAGGCGCCTAGTCCCCCACGGACCTCAGGGGCAGACGGCTTGGTGGGCGAGGATGGGGCAGCTGATGCTTCCAAGGGACTTGGGGGAGGTGGTGGGGCTGGGGGGCCACCAGGCACACCCTACGAGCTGGCCAAGGAGGACCCCCAGCGGTACCACTTACAGAGTGTCATCCGTACCAGTGCCAGCCTTGATGAGGGGGCGGCAGCAGCCTTGGAGCTGGGCCTGGGTAGGCTGAAGGAGAAGAAGAAAGGGCCGGAACGGGGTGGCGAGACCCCTGAGGGCTTGGCCACCTCTGTGGTCCACTATGGGGCCGGTGCCAAGGAGCTAGGAGCCTTTCTACAAAAGAGCCCACCACCACCTCCTCCCTCGGCCCAGGCCTCCCAGCCCCCACCCCATGGTCTCCTCCTGGAAGCTGGGGGTCCAGACCTCCCACTGGTGCTTCCTCCACCTCCCCCCCAACTGCTGCCCTCAGTCCTCAGCCATGCCCCCAGCCCCTCTCCTGGTGCCCCCAAAGTTGGCGTTCACCTCCTTGAGCCAGCATCCAGGGATGGAGCCCCTCAGCCGCCGCCACCCCCGCCACCGCCACCCATTCCCCTGCAGCTCGAGGCCCACCTCCGCAGCCATGGCTTGGAACCCTCGGCCCCCAGCCCCCGTCTACGCCCTGAGGAGAGTCTGGAGCCCCCAGGCACCATGCAAGAACTGCTCGGGGCCTTGGAGCCACTGCCCCCAGGGCCCGGTGACACGGGTGTGGGCCCCTCCAGTGCTGAGGGGAAGGACCCAGCGGGCGCTTACCGCAGCCCCAGCCCACAAGGCCCCAAGGCCCCCCGCTTTGTGCCGCTCACCTCCATTTGCTTCCCCGACTCCTTGCTCCAAGACGAGGAACGCAGTTTCTTCCCCACCATGGAGGAGATGTTTGGCGGCGGGGCTGCTGACGACTATGGCAAGCCTGGAGCGCCCGAGGACGAGGGTGACCCTAAGGCGGGTACCGGACCACCACAGGGCCCCCCAGCCTATGATCCCTACGGGCCCTATTGTCCAAGTCGGGGTACCGGGGGTGGGCCCGAGACGCCGGGCCTGGGCCTAGACAAACCTCCAGAGCTGCCCTCGACTGTTAACGCCGAGCCTTTGGGCTTGATCCAGAGTGGGCCGCACCAGGCTGCCCCACAACCCCCGCCTCCTCCACCACCCCCACCACCCACCTCCGAGCCTAAGGGTGGCTTGACCTCGCCTATCTTCTGCTCAACCAAGCCAAAGAAGCTACTGAAGACTTCTTCCTTCCACCTGCTGCGGCGTCGGGACCCACCCTTCCAGACCCCCAAGAAGCTCTATGCCCAGGAGTATGAGTTCGAGGCTGATGAGGACAAGGCTGATGTGCCCGCCGACATCCGTCTCAACCCCCGCCGCCTGCCCGATCTGGTCTCCAGTTGTCGCTCCCGTCCAGCCCTCTCTCCGCTGGGTGACATTGATTTCTGCCCGCCCAACCCCGGTCCTGATGGCCCTAGGCGACGAGGCCGAAAGCCCACTAAGGCCAAGCGTGATGGCCCACCGCGACCCCGGGGGAGGCCCCGCATCCGCCCGCTAGAAGTCCCTACTACAGTGGGGCCCACCTCCGCTTCCACGCCCACTGATGGGGCCAAGAAACCCCGGGGAAGGGGTCGTGGTCGAGGCAGGAAGGCCGAGGAGGCAGGGGGCAATCGGCTGGAGCCCCTGAAGCCGCTGAAGGTGAGGAATAACAGGGTGCTAAAAGGGATGGGGGACCTGGGCTCTTGAGTCTGAATGAGGAAGGGTGGGGTCTCGGGTACCAGGATCTGAGGCAGGAGGCTGGGATCTGAACTGCTGAGTCTTTACAAGGAAGAGGGCTTTACAGCCTAAACTCCTAGGTCTGGGGGAGGGCCCTGACTCCCCACCACCCCCACATCTAGATCAAGCTGTCTGTACCCAAGGCGAGCGAGGGCCTGGGCGCCGCATCGGGTGATGCCGTGTCGGGCACTGACCACAACAGCCTGGACTCCAGCCTCACACGGGAGAAGATTGAGGCCAAGATCAAGGAGGTGGAGGAGAAGCAACCTGAGATGAAGTCGGGCTTCATGGCCTCCTTTCTGGACTTTCTAAAGTCTGGCAAACGCCACCCGCCTCTCTACCAGGCTGGCCTGACTCCCCCACTCAGCCCCCCCAAGAGTGTGCCACCCCCTGTGCCAGCTCGCAGCCTGCAGCCTCAGCCCCCGGCTGCGCCCACCCTTCCCCACCCACCACCCACAGGCGCCTTCGGCCTGGGGGGCGCGCTGGAGGCCGCAGAGAACGAGGGGCTAGGCCTGGGCTGCCCCTCCCCCTGCAAGCGCCTGGATGAGGAACTCAAGCGGAACCTGGAGACGCTGCCTTCCTTCTCCTCGGACGAGGAGGACTCTGTGGCCAAGAATCGTGATCTGCAGGAAAGTATATCGTCAGCCATCTCCGCTCTCGATGACCCACCCCTTGCTGGGCCCAAGGACACCGCCACTCCAGATGGGCCTCCCCTGGCCACTGCAGCTACAGTTCCAGGGCCACCCCCACTTCCAGGGCTCCCCAGTACTGGCAGCAATGGCACGCCTGGTGAGCTCCAAGGAGGATCCCTCAGGGAGCTGGGTAGGGGATTGGGACTTCCTAGGTTCCTTTTTACAGACAGGGTTGTCTGGTACAGTTGTGCAGATTGTGCACTGTTTAGGGGATTCCATTCACACGCTAGCTGACGTTGGTTTGTCTCTGTATGAAGTTAGTTTTTTGGTAGAGGGCGATCAACTGTCTTGAGAAAGGCTTGTCTTTTTTGTATTGTCCCAAAGAAATTCACATGTATTTGAAGTGGGCTTTGGAAGTCAGAAGTGTTGGGGTGCTGAGAGGGGCGTAGTGCCTATGAAGGGTTCTGAGGAGTGGATGACATGGAAGAGAAGGGAGCAGAAAACAAAAGCCCAGACTGACAGTTACTGAGCCAGGTCCTACTCAGCAGCCTGATAGCCTGAAGTAGAAGTGTACATCTTTGCAGGAGCAAGGCAGCTTCATCTTTCTCATGAGAAGTGGCTTGTGGGTTTGAACCACTGACTGTGGTTAGCAGTTCAATGCTTAACCCACTGTGCTACCAAAACTCATAGGGGACAGGTGGAGGTATCTGGGAGGCTTGGTGAGGATGGTTTAAAGAGTCCTAGAAGCATTGGGTGATTAGGTGGGTCTTCGGACAGACTGAGGGTCCACTCGGTTCTAGAACAGGTGTTGTTTTTTAAAGGACTTTCAGAGAAGGAACAGAGGAATTAGATGGTGATAATATGTGTAATGCATCAGACTGCAAAGCCGTTTGAACTGCAAGGTCGGTGGTTCAAGCTCACCAGCTGCTCCTCGGGAACCCTATACAGGGTCGCTATGTGTCTGAATCCACTCAACGGCGCTTCACAACAAGAAGGGTGGAAATGCGGGGCAGGGCATTGAGAAAGGACATACAGGCTCACGTGAATCTTGGCAGTGCCATTTTACTCTCACATACGAATCGGGCTGCGAACCTGAAGGTCAGAGGTTCGAAACTACCAGCCGCTCCGCGGGAGAAAGATGAGGCTTTCTACTCCCGTAAAGATTTACACCCTCGGAAACCCTGTACAGGGTCACTATGGGTCGGACCCGACTCGATGGCACTTAACAACAACAACAACAATCGCTATGAGTCTAAATTTCAGTGACAGTGGGTTTGATTTTTGGGGTTTGGAACTGGTGGTCCTGTAGGATAAGTTTGTTGTTAAATGCCACTGAGTCAGTTGTGACCCATAGCAACTCTATATAGGGTTTTCAAGGAGCGACTGGTGAGCCTGAACCGCCAACTTGCAGTTCAAACAGCTTTGCAGTCTGGCGCATTAACCCACAGCACCACACCAGGACTCTGGCTGCTAATCTCAGTCAGCAGTTAAAACACACAAGCCGCTTTTAGAAAGATGAGGCTTTCTGTACCTGTGAAGATGTACAGCCGTAGAAACTGCAGGATCACTGTGAATCGGAAGCAACTCAAGGACAGTGGGTTTGGGTTCATTTTGTTTGTTCAATCTTTACAAAAGTAGACTGCCACATTTTTCTCCCTTGGAGTAGCTTGTAGTTAGAAATTGCTGGCTCTTTGGTCAGCTGCTGAATACTTAAACATCGTGCCACCAGGGTTCCTTCTCGTGAAGATGTTGTTATTAAGTGCCGTCGAGTCAGTTCTGACACATAGCGACCCTGTAAGAGTTTCTGAGGAGCGACTGGTGGATTTAAACTGCTGACTTTGTGGTCTAGTGCATTGCCCTGTAGTACCACACCAGGACTTTTACAGCCTAGAAAATCCTATGGGGCAATTGTCCTTGTGTTATTTGGAATTACTATCAGTCATTACACACTTGTTTCCCTGCATCAGTACTAGTACGGAGCAAGAACTTGAAGGAAACAGAGATATTGATGTCTTGGGAGATACAGGGGATCCCAAATCTCTGGCCCTCCTGCCCTGACAACCCTCTTTCCCCCCAGAGCCCCCGCTGCTGGAGGAGAAGCCCCCACCCACCCCACCACCTGCTCCCACACCTCAGCCGCCGCCACCGCCGCCAGCCCTGCCATCCCCACCTCCGCTGGTGGTCCCTGCGCCCAGCTCACCTCCTCCGCTGCAGCCACCTCCGCCTCCGCCCCCACCAGCTCTGCCCTCCCCTCCACCCCTGCCACCGCCGCCACCGCCGCCGCCTCCTCCACCAGCTGTTCCTGCTCCTGAGGAACCTGCTGCTGTCCCTTCTCCGGAGGACCCCGAGCCACCCGATGCCCGACCCCTGCATCTGGCCAAGAAGCAGGAGACAGCGGCCGTATGCGGTGAGACAGATGAAGAGGCGGGCGAGAGCGGCGGGGAGGGCATCTTCCGAGAGCGAGATGAGTTTGTCATCCGGGCTGAGGACATCCCTTCTCTGAAGGTGAGTCTCCCAGGCTTGCCTTGTAGGATGGGGCCTAGTGAATTGATTGAGCGTCTGCGGTATGGCAATGAATCCATCCCCTGGTCTGTGGGGTTAAGAAACAGTAACATGCTCTAGTGAGTGATAGATAGGATGGACCCTGGAGAAGGTCATCATGATTGGTAAAATGAGTCAGTGAAAAAGAAGACCCTTAACAAGGTGATCTCACACTGGCTGCAGCTGTGGGCTCAAGCATTGTGTGGATGATGCATGACCCGGAAATGGTTCATTCATGGGGTCACTCACTATGAGTTGGAACAACGTGACGGTACGCAACAGTGACACCAACGTGTCTGTGTATATTGGAAACTCAGGATGGCATAAATGGTTAAGTTAAATAAACCAACTCAAATCCATTGCCACTGAGTCAGTTCCAACTCATAGAGACCTACCGTGTAGAACAAGAATAGAATTACTCCTTAGGGTTTCCAAGGGTGTAAATCTTTATGGGAGCAGATAGCCTCATCTTTCTCCCATGGAGTGACTGGTGGGTGTGAACCACAGGCCTTGTGGTTAGTAGCTCAATGCTTAACCCACTGCATCAGCTAAACAGCTAACAGGAAGGTTGGTAGTTTGAGTCTTACCTGGAGGGACCTCGGAAGAAATACCTGGAAATCTACTTCTTAAAAATCAGCCATAGCTCATAGACCACAGTTTTATTCTGACATACATGGATTCACCATAAATCAAACTTCTCCAGTGGTTAGTTGAATGGTTGGCTGTTGTGTGTATGTAGCACTTGGTTGGTTACTATATGTTTGTATAAATGAGGTAAAATGGTTAGTAATGTTTTACTAGGGATACTCTGTGTGCTGGAAACTTCTCTGGGTAGTATCGTTGTTGTTACGTGCCTTTGCGTCAGGTCCTACCCATAGTGACCTTCTATAGGGTTTCCTAGAAGCAGCTGGTAAACTTGAACCACTGACCTTGTGGTTCAAACTGAGGTTCTATCAAGTGAATTCCAACTCATAGAGACCCCATTTGACACAATAGAACTGTCCCATAGGGTATTCTAGGCTGTCATCTTTATAAGTGCTACAATGTGGTACTGTGGATAAGCACTGGACCACAAGGTCAGTTTGAACCGCAAGATAGGCAGTTCAAACTCACCAGCCTCTCCTCAGTAACTCTGTTTGTTGGTGTTAGGTGCCATCGAGTCAGTACCGGCTCATAGCGACCCTATGCACAACAGAATCAAACACTACCCAGTCGTGGGCCAACCTTAACAATTGTTGCCACGCTTGAGCCCATTGATGCTGCCACTTTGCCAATCCATCTTGCTGGGGTCCTCCTCTTTTTCTCTAACCATCCACTTTACCAAACATGTCACTATGGGTCAAAACTGACTTGATGGCACTTAACTTAGAACCGTAACGGTTAAGGGCTTGCTAGCTGAATGCTTAGCAATTCGCGCCACTAGAACTCCTTCTCTGGGTGTTGAGGGCACAGTAATTAATATAGAATCATCTAGGAGACACTACTTTGCAACTTGTTGCTTTAATGTTGGAAACATGAGACAGTGAAGTAGTATTTGTTTTGTAGAACTTTGTATCAAAGTACCACAAAGTTCTTGTTCTTGTGTGCCAACAAGTCCATTCCAACGCGCAGCCAGTCCTCTAGAACAGAGTAGACCTGCTTATGGTTTTCTTTCAAGGTTGTAAGTCTTCATGGTAACAGATTGCCTGATTTTACTTCTGTGGAGCTATCAGGTTCCAACTGCCGGCCTTACTGTTTGCAGCCGAGTGTGTAACCATGGTGTAGCCAGGGCTCCTGGACTCCAAAGTGACTTACTTCAAAGAGCACATATGTAGTATTGGAGGTTAGAAATCTGAATTCATGATGTCATCTAGGGCATGTTATCTCTGAAGCTCTGGGGAAAGACCCTCCCTGGTCTTCGGGAAGTCCCAGATGTTTCATGCTTTGTAGCTACAGGGTTATACCCTGGTCACATAGCCATCTACCCTCTGTCTGGCTGTCTGTGTCATCCGCTCATCGATAAGGACATTACTCATTCTGGATTAGGATTCACTCCGCTCTGGTAAAACCTCATGTGAATTTAACTGATAACATCTCCAAAGACCCTATCATGAAACAAGGGGTTAGAATTTCAACAGATCTTTCTGGTGAACACATTTCAGTCTATAATAGGTGGGAACACACGCAAATGTGTGGTTGTATGCTGGTGAGTCATTTCAGACTTTAATAGCAACTCACTATAGGGTTTCTGAGAGTCCTGGTGTGTCACTCGCTATAGGATAAGCACTGGACTTCAAGGTCGGTTTGAATTGCAAGGCCAGCAATTCAAACTTACCAGTTACTCCTTAGAAACCTGTGTAGGGTCACTATGAGTCAGAACCAACTCAGTGGGAGTTAACAACAATATAGGGTTTCTGAAAGTGGCTAGTAGGTTTGAACTGCTGGCCTTGCAATTAGCAGTATACTGCTTATCATACAATGCCACATCAGAGATCTCCTAAATATACTGGCTCATATTTGGGGGATGCTTACTATGTGTCAGGAAGCTCTGTTGGTGCAGTAGTTAAGCGCTGAGCTGCTAACTAAAAGGTTGCTGGTTTGAACCCAACAAACAGCTCCTTGAGAGAAAGATGTGGCCTGTCTGCTCCCATAAAGTTGAAAGTCTTGATTGCGGTCTGGTACATTTCTACTATGTGTCAAGTTGCTAACCACAAGGTCAGCAGTTCAAACCCCCCCAGCCGTTCCCCAGGAGAAACATGAGGCTTTCTGTTCCCATAAAGATCTAGTCTTGGATACATTAGACAGGTTCAGTATGAGTCAGTGTTAACTAGAGGGCAGTAGTTACTGTGTGTCAGGCTGCATTATCAATTTGTTACCATAGACTGCGTGTTTGCTACTTATTCTACTGCAGGGGTTGTTAACCAATAGCCCGATGGCCAAACCCTAGTCACTGCCTGTTTTTATTACATTTTGTTGGAATCCTGTACCTCGATCATTTGTGTATTACCTATTTGTGCTTTACCAAGTGAAATAGTTAAGAAAGCCCAGCATAGTTACTCTGTCCCATTCAGAAAATCTATTTGACTTATATGGTGCACTTTGTATTCATATAGTTCCGAGGATTAATATACTAGGTGCATATGCATATGCCTGGTTTTCTGTGTAGGGTGTGAGGTAGAGCTATGCTCACTAAGGTCAGCAGACAGTGACACCCTGATGTGGTACCTGGGGCCAAGCCCACGCTATTTATGAATTATTGTTGTTGTTAAGTGCCGTTGAGTCAGTTCCGACCCATAGCGACTCTGTATAGGGTTTCCAAGGTGAGCTTGAACCGCCGACCTTGCAGTTCAAATGGCTTTGCAGTCTGGCACATTAACCCACAGTGCCACACCAGGACTTTGTATATTAATTTGTTGTTAAGTGCCATCGAGTCAATTCTGACCCATAGTGACCCTGTATAGGGTTTCCAAGGAGCAGCTGGTGAGCTTGAGCTGCCGACCTTGCAGTTCAACCAGCTTTGCAGTCTGGCGCATTAACCCACAGTACCACGTATATTAATAGTGGCCATTTATTAGATATTGGCTCAATACCCAGTCTTTTGATAGACTTTGTTGTAAGTTTCCATTGAGTCAATTCTGACTACAGCTCATGCCTTATGTTCTGGTAGAATTATTCTTTAGGGTTTTCTGGACTGTTAATTTTGTTGGTATCAGAACACTTGGTGGATTCGAACCATCAACCTTTTTTGGTTAGCAGCTGATTGCAAAGGACTTGCTCCACTCAGCACATGACCATGTTTTATTGCATCACGGGTGTCACTTCTAAAGTGCAGATATAGACATTATGAGCTGAATTAATTAAAAGTTTAGAATCCTGGTGTAATGCTGGATAAGCACTGGACTGCTAACCGCCAGGTCAGGGTTCAAACCCACCAGCTGCTTCTTGGAAACCCTGTATATAGGGTCGCTATGAGGTGGAATTGAATCCTGGTATGGTGTTGCAGGTTAATGCACTGGACTGCAAAGTCGGTGTGAACCGCAAGGTCTGCTGTTCAAGCTCACTAGTCACTCCTCCAAAACCCTATACAGGGTCGCTATGAGTCGGAAATGACTTGATGGCACTTAACAACATATATGTGGAATAAGGTCCCATGAAAGATTGACGGTTCAAACCTTCCAACCACTCCTTGAAAACCCTATGCAGGGTCGCTGTGAGTCAGAATTGATTTGATGGCAATTAACAACAGCAACAAATATATATAGTTCACTTGTCAATTTGACAGTTTTCAGGTGTCCAATTAAGTAGTATCAATGACAGTGAAACCTAAACCTGTCAGAGCAGGGCTTGGTAACACTCACTCCTTTTTCCAGGTCTTACAAGTTTTCCACCTTTGACAGGATACAGTCTTAACCACTTTTCTGTTGTTCATTTTGGTGGAAAATATTTGAGCCTCCCTTCTCCGACTCTTTTTTTGCCTTACACAGTATCTGGCTTTTACGGGTTTTGCTATATCTACATTGATCATGCTGTGCTGCGATCAGTTTTAAACATCACCACATTTCCTATCACCATAAATAAAAGTCCTGGGGTGACTCTGTAGGATAAGCATTGAACTGCTGACTGCAGAGTTGACAGTTTAAACCCACCAGCCGCTCATCGGAAACCCTTTACACAGGGTGACTATGTGTCGGACTCGTCTCAACAGCACTTAACAACAACATAAATAGCTGTGTTATTTTTAATCTAACCTTTTTTATTGTGGCGGGGGGATAATGGAGCCAGGAGGAACTCCGATGGCGTAGTTTGACTGCTAACCATAAAGTTAGCAGTTCAAATTCACGAGCCGCTTTATGGGAGAAAGATGAGCCTGTTTGCTCCCATTAGGGTATATACAGTCTTAGAAACCCTAAGGAGCCACTCTACTTGGTCCTATTAGGATTGTAAGTCAGAATTGGCTCGACAGCTGTGGGGTTTGTTTTGGGTTT